AGATCTCTAGTCTTTCTCATTCTATTGTTTTCCTCTATTTCTTTGCATTGAACTTGGACTGCCCGGTAATGTCGAGGCACTGCCTTTAAGAAAGCAATGTTCTATAACTCTTCAATTAATAATGAAAGACAGACCAATTTAATCTTTCCATTTCTGGCTGCAGCTGTAGCTTTGGCGTCCCAGTGGTACAGATAAGTGTACAGTAGAATAGATAAGAACTGTTTGCTGTAATTAAAATCAACAAGAAAAAAAGGCCAAGGTTGAAATCTATCTTGATTTTGCAAATTACAAAGTTCAGATAAACGATTTTCTTACTTCTCATAGCAACAGTAAGGAGTATTTTTTTCTGAAACAAACCAGAAATGCATGTTTTGAGGTTGCCTGCTTTCAGTCTTTTTGTTTTCATTTTTGTTTCTTTGCCACTCCTCGTAATTCAGTAACATCCCATCACTCACACCTGCTTTTCCAAAACTACTTCATATGTGTTTTTGTTTAAAAAATGCAGAGTCCCCACTCCTTGATTGTGTGCTGCTCACGGTGATTTCATTTCAAAGAGTATGGTGCAGGATACCAGACAGTGGAGAAACATGGGCAATGGCACCTGGGCCAGGTAATCAGACAGTGGAGAAACATGGTCAATGCGACCTCGGTCAGGTGACCAGGCCAACATAAGCAGTCATCAGACATGCTGATACAGGCAGCCTGGACATGGTATGATGAACACAGCATTTTACCTCTATGCTCTTCCTCCCAGTAACCCATAACGCCACTGTAACCAGGAAGAAAACACCGGACAAATCTTAACAGAGGGACACTCTACAAAATATCTGACCAGTACGTCTCAAAACTGTCAAGGTTATCAAAGACAAAGAAAGCCTGAGAAAATGTCACAGCCAAGAGGAATCCAGGGAAACAGGAGAATAAATGTAATGTGGTGTTCCAGATGAGGTCTTGGAACAGAAAAGGGACTGTAAGTGAAAACAAATGATAAAATAAGGACTTAGCATATCAAGAGTGGACAACTAATTACAGCCAATGTACCACACTAAGATGTTAAAAACACGGGAAACTGGGGCTAGGTTAGATGTGAATTTTCCGTGCTCAGGCTCAGTCACTCAGTCGTGTGCCCAACTCTTTGCAACCCCATGGACTGTAGCCTACCAGACTCCTCTGTCCATAGGATTTCCCAAGCAAGAATACTGGAGTGGGTTGCCATTTGTTTCTCCAGGGGATCTTCCCAACCCAAGGATTGAACCTCCATCTCTTTTGTCTCCTGCACTGGCACTCTAGCGCCACCTGGGAAGCCCAATTTTATAGACTTTTCTGTACTATTTTCATAATTTTCCTGTAAATCTAAAACTGATCTTAAAAAAAATACAATCTATTATAGAAAGAAAGAGGGAATTTCCTATCAGTTCAGTGGTTAGTACTCCACACTTTCAACTGCCAAGGACTGAGCTCAATCCCTGGTCAGGGAACTAAGATACTGCAAGAAAAAAAGAAGAAAGGAAAGAAAGAAAGAAGAGAAAGAAAGAAGAGAAAGAAAGAAAAGAAAAATTAAGGAAAATGCCAGCACTTCCACCAATCCAAGCTAAAAAGGATGACAGAAGACAGCTATAACCTTCATGTGACTAGTAAAATAACAGAGAATGAAAACAACAAGACAATCTCTACCAGCTGGTTTTCATCCTACCGTCTGGATCTTAAATAATTACTGGAGATGTGATAGCAGTCAAGGAGCAAAAAAGAGTCTTCCCTCACAGTCCACAAGGAACCCAAGCTTTAGAAACAAAGCTCTGGTCTGGTACTTATGAGAAACTCCCTTCTCATGGAGGTGCTTTCTCTTGTTTAGTTGCTCAGCGGTGTCTGATTCTTTGTGACTCCATGGGCTGTAGCCCGCCAGGCTCCTCTGTCCATGGGATTTTCCAGGCAAGAATACTGGAGTAGGTTACCATTTCCTTCTCCGGAGTATCTTCCCAACCCAGGGTTTGAACCAGCGTCTCCTGCATTGGCAGGTGGTCTCTTCACGTACGGCTTTGCCTCATTAAGACCAAACAAAGCATCATCAGAGATCCCCTTTCCACAAAATTAGAAGGTAGTTAATGCAAGTGTCAGGAAAATTTCCAGCACATTCTAAAAACCAGTTATAACTATTACTGGTGACTTAAATGCTCAGTCCTCATCCATCACACACTGTACATTTTTGCTTCAGCTACAGCATCAGTCCTTCCAGTGAGTATTCAGGGTTGGTAAGTATTCATCTTATATTCTGCCTTATATTAGTGTTGGTTCAGTTTCACAGAGCAAAGTCACTGTGCTTCAGTGCCTGTGATGAACTGTGAGCACTTTGGGGGTAATGGGGCTGGAAAGTTAGAGGGCTTCAGATAGCACAGAGGTTTAAACATTAATAAAAACTGTGCTTTGGGAAATGTTAAAGCAATATATTATTGCAGTGAATATGATTATTACTTATGCTGCTTAGAACCAAACTCCCCCACACTGACATCTTTCCTTCCAAGGTCTTCTTAGCAGAATAGGGATGAATGGAAGTATTTGGCATGGGAGGTGGGAAGATAAGCTAGGTTCAGTTTAGTTCAGTTCAGTCGCTCAGTCGTGTCTGACTCTTTGAGACCCCATGAACCACAGCACGCCAGGCCTCCCTGTCTATTATCAACTCCCGGAGTCCACCCAAACCCACGTCCATCGAGTCGATGATGCCATCCAACCATCTCATCCTCTGTCGTCCCCTTCTCCTCCTGCCCTCAATCTTTTCCAGCATCAGGGTCTTTTCAGATGAGTCAGCTCTTTGTATCAGGTGGCCAAAGTATTGGAGTTTCAGCTTCAGCATCAGTCCTTCCAATGAACACCCAGGACTGATCTCCTTCAGGATGGACTGGTTGGA